AAATTTTAAGGTGCTCTGCAAATTGTTGTTCCGTATCTCGGCGTGACCTATGTTTGTATATTGATTTATTTACACAACACAAAAGAAAGTTCTGGAACAAGGCAAGGCAATGTTATTCAAAAAGCAGGAGAGAGAGAGAGCGGGTGTGGAAAGTAATGTTGTTGTTCTGGTCATCAAAATTAAATATTTTGTAAAGTAATATATTTTAGGAATAGTGTAATTTAACCTTTATTATTTTACTGTCAGAGCATATTATGAAATTTTAATGTATCATTTAACTAGTGACGGTTTTCATTACTTAGTATAAAACAAATTCTCTGTCTCTGTATGATAAATCTTAATCTTATTTGTTACTAGCTTCCGCCCGCGACTTCGTCGGCGTGAAATAGTGACTTCTGGCAGATTTTCATCATCATCATCATCATCATCTAATATATCATATAAATTTGGATCAAAGCTACCTCCCAGGGTCAAAGTAACCCGAACTTACGGTACAGACAAACAGACAAAAAATCTAAATACCATTGTTTTGGGCTCTATTGTGTATTTAAAGGTTTTCTTATTTATCTTCCATGTTCCTTTTACAATTTTATTACATGCATTGATTATTAAAAATGCTTTATTGTGCGTATGCTTAAATCTTTAAAATTGTATAACGGATGTAAATGCATTTTTATTATTACATAGAGTGATCAAAGAGAACGGTTTATATATGTATAATAATATTTATTAAACAGTGGAGAAATTTTGTATCAGCGTTGCACCCGTGTGAAGCCTGGACGATATCGGTGTTGTCATATAAAAACAATTGAGTATTTAAACATCTTTAACAACAACACAACTGTCTTTCTCGTTCTACTTTTGATTTTTGTTTGTAAAAAGAAGAGAAAATAATAGATTAAGATTTAGCAGAAAAATAATGTATTTATTAATCGGATATCACAGTCAGTATGAACAAAATAATAAATAGGGATAACACAATCAGTCAATCAATGGTAATCATTTAGTAATGATGATAGTCGTGTCCGTGGTCGTGGACGATGGGAGCGGTGTTGTGGACTACAGCGTTGAAACTGTAAGAAAAAATAAACAGCCATTAATATGCTGACTAATGCCTAAATCTATTAAAAACTTTCGGCGATGTTTAGTAAGTGATGTAACGTATTTTTTTTTATTCTTACCCATGATGGTCATCAGCGGTGTATTCAACCTTGCGCACGGAACCGTCAGGCTGCACGAGGGTGTAATATCCGTGCACGGCGTCACCGTCGCGGCTCTCGTGCTGGGCTTTATGGTCACCGGTGTGGGGGTCAGCCACGGAGTAAGAGTAGTCGTATTTGGGATGAGCCTGGAATAGTTACAAGATTAATTTTAATATTGGTTTTGTAATATACACCGAATGTAATATACAGTCGAAAATCAGGAGCTGATGATTTGTTTATTGTTCTATATTAAAATTTGAGATTTGTTAATTTAATCGCTGCAATCGTCCATTTTATATTATTCCTATTAATATTTATAATTAATATTTATAATCATGTTTACTTACGTATGTGTCATGACCGTCGTAATGTTCCACGGGGGCAGCGTAGTGAGCTACGGGAGCGGCGTAATGGGCAACGGGAGCGGCGTAGTGAGCTACTGGAGCCGCGTAGTGTGCGGGTTGGTCATGATGGACAATACTTTGGGAGGACACAGCGTGGCCATGACCCAAGTGGCCAGCGTTGGCAGCGGCCAACAGTGCGCTCAACGCTACGATCTGAAAGTGTTACGTTGATAATTAGTTTTTTTTATCAAATATCTTTGAATATAACTCCTATGGCTAAAATATATTTTTCCATTGTTTAAATATAAAATAATAAAAAGTATTTACTTTGCTGAACATGTTTGTTATAAAGTTCTCAACGGTTAAGTGTTGATTGATGCTAATAGACTTGTTGAATGGTGGTTTTATATGCTAATAGCTTTGCAACTTACGCTCTCTTGGTGGGGCAGAGAAATGCGTTCGCGCCCTTGACTTTGAATTATTTAAATACTTTAAAATGTATCAAGGTCGCAGCTTAGTTACGTAAACTTTGATAAATATTTTACAATCAACGAGTCAATTGACTTACTGATTGTAAAATTATGATCAAAAATTAGTCCAGGTTGTTTATTATAAAAAAACTATTTTAGAAATATTTAGGTCAAGAATCGTTGACCTACACTATAGTTAATGAGCATTTGAGTATTTGATCTGTGTGTAAGAAAGTCGTACTGATAGGATTAAGGTTGGATTAATAAGACAAGACTTCTTAATAAATTAAGTTTGCACGTTGCTGCATATTTTAGCTTTAAATATCTGGAAATAGGTCTGTCCGCTTATTTTAATTTCATTTTGAAATATTTCATGTTTCATTTTATATAATTATTTAGAGTCAGACGAATGATCGATATCATTCGTCGTTCTTTGTTCCTGTTTTTTACACCTTATTAGGAGCTAGCAGACAGAGCAGAGCGTTACGACGGTAAGAGAAAACGGGGTTTCAGAGGAAACTATCCTCGTTATGCCCCATTCGCTGTAGTAGGAACATCTAGGCCTTGAAGATCGCCTGGCGATCACCAGCCACCGTGTTTGCACTTGTCTGCGGAAGGCAACCTTTGCTCGCCTAGATCTGAGTGTATGGCTCGTAGCGTTTCGCGCGCACTTCAAGGAGCCTATGGATCACCACAGATGGGGCCAGATGCAGCCTTGTTGGACTGATATTCAGGTGGACTTGCGGGGCAAGCGCGATAACGAATTACTGTCCGGAACGGATGAAGGACCCGGTGGTGCTTAGACAGTAAGTGCCTGACAATCCTAAAAATTTTGTTTTTACATTAATGTCAATAGAATTTATACATCAAAAATTTTGCAAATTAACAGAAGGATCACCTTTTGGTAAGCAGTTACAAGTGCGTTACTGGCCTTTTGAGGTTTTAAGGATGGGGATTTTTTTTTTTTTTTTTATGTAATAGCTCGGCAAACGAGTAGACGGATTACCTGATGGTAAGCAATCAGCGCCGCCCATGGACACTCGCAACGGAGGACCTTTTAGGGATTAGGGATTTGGAGATGTAGGGATTGAGGAGGGATTGGGGAAGGGGAAGGATTGGTCCTCCGGTAACCTCACTCACACGGCGAAACACAATGCAGAGGTTATTTCACGCCGGTTTTCTGTGAGGCCGTGGTATCACTCCGGTCGAGCCGACCCATTCGTGCTGAAGCATGGCTCTCCCACACTTAGCATGGCTCTCCCACACTTATTTTGGATATGTACATGGACAATAATGTATGTAATGGATAACATGAATTATGGAAAGGTTAGGCTTCCACTCACTCAGTCCACTCACACGATGAATAGCAACTCTGGCGTTGTTCCACGATGATCTTCTGGGTGCTATTACTTTGATCGACCTAGCGTATTTGTGCTGAAGCATAGCTCTCCCACAATATTTTAAAATAGAAAAAAATACTATGTAATTAAGCAGGTCCTACGCTAAGCCACATGTAAGTACAAGAATGTACATAGTTTTAATAGAGCGTGACTTAAGATAGATTTATATCAGCTGTGAAGTGCCTATAAGCGATTAATGCGGATTTTTAATTAATACGTTTTGTGTTGAAACAAGCGCAACATTTTTTTATTTTATTTTATTTTATTTATTTATTTTCCAAAACTTAGACTATTTTTACAGGTTTTGTACCCAATGCAACATGCTTCGAAAAGAGTTATTAAATATAAAAAAGACTCTGAATTTAACAAAAAATATTTGATACAGAATTCTGTGCCGATCATAATTTTATTGATCTAAAGTAGACTTTTTTTTCTGTCGTATGGTGATATGGTAACAATAGTAGTTGAAATAAATACTTATAACAGTTAGAAGATTAATTTTAATGAAAATATTTGTATTAGTAAACTAAAATCGAATTGGATTGGCTATTTGTATAAAGTTGTTGTTAGTATTGTTTGTGACAATTTGGTGGTGGTTTACCCTTCTTACAAAAAAGAGATACATTATTATTTTCGAGACAAATCTAACTCGTATTTCCAGATATAAGTTACAGCAATATAATGGAACATATTCATTGATTGATTTTAGTAACATTAAGTTAATTTAATATGTAGGCTAATTGGCATAGGTTTTGTATAGATCACGTATACTTAAATAAATGAGATAGAATATAGTATGGAAAATATGATATTCATATTTGTATTTCAATAGTTGTTTATGTTGAGCAGAAAAGAAAAGGATAAATGTAAGTGCCGGCAAGTTTTTTATTAAGTTTACGTGAGATAATTAAGCTCAATGACAGTTGGACATTGGACTTAATGAAGATTATTATCTTAACGATATCATAAGACATATTTACCTAATAAAACTAAAATAGGTGTTAATGCTATTTAATTTGGTAGCGGCGTCTACGATCACGCGTCGGGCGGCGCGTGTTGCTTTCATTAATGCTGTACTTTGCCGCGTCATTGCTCGCACTGATCAAAATATATTCTGAACGTTATGAGCAATGTACATAATATTATGACGAACTACACGATGCCCCGCATCTCCTTAATTGAGGTCTAATAATGAATTTGGTTTTAAGTTAATTTTAGAAATTCTAGCTATTATTATCACGAGCTTTCGGATTACCTGATGGTAAGCAATCGACGCCGCCCATGGACACCACTAAAGCATAAGGGTTTCGGATATTTTAGGATTAGGAAGGGTTGGGGGGAGGGGCAGGGATTGGGCCCCTGGTAACCTCATAAAGGTGATAAAGCTGTATTTGTTTCCTACCGGTTTTCTGTGAGGCCGTGGTATAAGATCTGATCGGTCTAGTTTCTCAATAGCATTTAAAAGTGTGTGTGTATAATGCAGACTTTAAATAAAATATGAAGTAAAGAATTGCATTTTAATTTTTCATATGACATTTAATATAATACAATTCATATTAAGTTCAAACAATAAATAAATTACACGTTGTGGTTATTTAGTAATGATGGTAAGCATGGCCGTAGATGGGAGCGGGGTGCACTGAAGGAGCGGAGTTGTGTACCACAGCGTTGAAACTGAAAATAAAGAAAATATTAAAATCATTTTGTATGAAATAAAAAAAGAAGTTCTTTTACGGTACCCTAGAGTTAACTTACCCATTATGGGCGTCAGCGGTGTACTCAACCTTGCGGATGGAACCGTCTGGTTGAGCCAGGGAGTAGTATCCGTGTACGGAGTCACCATCGCGGCTCTCGTGCTGGGACTTGTGGTCACCGGTGTGGGGGTCAGCCACGGAGTAAGAGAAATCGTATTTGGGATGAGCCTAAAATAGTTTTAAGAGTAATTTTAATATTAATTATATAATAATAATTATTATTCATTTCTAAGTTAAATTTTTATCAAGTGTAATAATTTTATGACAAGATTAAATGTGCAATACGGATTAAATAAAATAAAAAAAACGTACGTAGGTGTCGTGACCGTCGTAGTGAGCAACTGGGGCAGCGTAGTGAGCTACTGGAGCGGCGTATTGAGCGACGGGGGCGGCGTAGTGGGAAATTGGAGCGACGTAGAGGGCTGTAGGAGCAGCGTAGTGGACGGGTTCATCATGGCGAATGATGGTTTGGGAGGATACAGCGTGGCCATGACCCAAGTAGCCAGCGTTGGCAGCGGCCAACAGCGCGCTCATAGCTACGATCTGGAAGAAAATTTACTCTTAGTAACTCGCGAAATTAATTATTTAAATCCTAATAAATATATTCATACTTACTTTGCTGAACATTTTGGTGTATTGTTTGTTAGTATCAAGAGTTGATTGATAATGTCAACAGGCGTAGCGTATGGTTTTATAGAACGCGAACTGAATATGCGTTGTTACGGTGGGGCGGAGAAATGCTCATGCACCTTGACTGTGTTACAATGACGTATAGCCATTTTTGTAGGTTACAGTTTCAATTTATTTAATGCGAGCGTGTGTTGTGTTTTCAAGATGTCCTCGTTTGCTTGAAAATTTTGTTTATTAGTTAAAACCGCGTTATATATGTGAAACTTTCATGACTGAATTATATACATAGGTGGGAAATTTGTTAATCCGATTTTAAACCGTCAGAAAGTTAATTTTGCTAATAGCTGATTTGTTGTTTAAATTTTACCGATTTTAAAGGTTTTTGACAGTTGACATAGAAGTTGCTATATCGATTGAAATGTTAAGATTAAAAATCTTATGTTATGTATAATATTACATTTTGTATTTGTATTTTAATTGCTTAAAAAGAAACATAGTATATCAACTTCAACATGACAAGTGTTGCAAAATATTATATACCCACTATCAAATCATTTTGTTCCAGCTCTAAATTAAAAAGCTAAAAATTACTGTTAATTTGAACCGGTAACAAAATAACCTTCAAAGTACTAAAGTGTTTCTTTTAAATAATACTGAATTCTATTATAAGCAACAAACGAATTAAAGCAATTATGAACCACAGTTATATTCTATTAATAGAAGCGATTAGAATTAGTTTATTTGTTACAGATTTACATATTAAATTAATTTTTTTATAGCCTATACCTATATATAAAAGTCATTGCTTCTTTTCGTTATACTGTTATAACTCAACAATGCCTTTACCGATTTGGCTAATTTTGGTCTAGAATTATAGTTTTTCTCGATTCTATAAACACGTACGGATCGGGATAAGAATAAACTTGGATTTTTCACTGTTAAGCATACTCTTTATTAATGATCTCCTTCTATGCCCCTAAAAAATAATTAATTCAGTAGATACCTAGCTTGTGATCTTTCAGACCAAAGCCCAGGCTCACCAGGAAATGCTGCCTATAAAATCAACTTTCAAAATTATTCAAAAATAGCTCTTCCTAATTAAAAATGTGATATTAAATTATTTATAACACAATTTTTTTCTACTTTTTTTCTGAGCACCCCCACTAATTCAGATATTGGTCGGTATGGTGGTGGATACGCTGGTCGGCGCCCTTTTCCCCTCGACCGCAAGCAGGTTTCGCACCTTCACAGAGCCATTTTCTTATGCCGTCATGTATCTTCTGTCTTTCTTGGTTGGCATGCTGAGACTTGAGGAAAAAGACTGCTGTTGCCACATTTGTGCTTTGGGAGTGGAGCTTAGGCGGGATTTTATTGCGAAATGAAAGCAACATCTGTTTCAACCAAGGGTTAGGCTCGCTGTTGTAGCAACTGTAACACTCCACTTTAAGGAGTGGCTAGAGAGGGCCACGGTGTACTCACACTCCTACTGACGCAGACCACTGACCGGTCACGCAAGTATCAGTTGGTATCTGTTTCGGAGGAAACCGCCGGTTGTCGTCTCTGTGAGTAGCATTCGGTGGCAGTGTGCTATAGTTGAGCTGAGCATCTCCATTTCCTCAGTGAGCCAAGAGATCTTTAATATCTCTACTAATCATCAAAGGTTACGTTAGATTATTTGTTGGTTTGCTTTAAATTTGTTGATGGATTTTACAGTGTCCGCTGTATAACTCATTTTTAAGGGAAACAGTCTTTTTTTTACTTCAATATTCCGCCAGCTTTAGAGCCTCCTTTTTCCTTTATTTATTTCCACGATTAATAAAACGGTAACAGATTTATAGCAATATGTAATAACTTAACTGACAAACAACGGGTTTAATGAGAAATATTCACCCTACTTTTACAAACCCTAAAATGTTAATGTGAGTTTTTACTAAACTAAACTGATTTAAAAAGGGTAACCATGGAGTTTCTTGATCGTTCTTCTTCATCAGAATCTACACTTTGGAACGAGCAAATAGCTTCACTAAGAGGACTGACCGACAGACTGACACTATATCTTTCAAAATTTTGTTTAACGTTCAAAAGTTCCAGGGTCTAATTGGAATAAATGATTTTTGACTTTTACATGTAAGTTTCTAAAACTCTAAGGTAACTAAAAAGTAAACAGCGATCAGAAATTATGCAATTTGTTTAGATGCGTATTGATTCTTTGAAAGATTATTTCACTAATTAAGATTATTTGACTGGTAGAAAATGCCAGTGGCATTAATTTTTTCTTGGCATTGAAGTCCCCGAGGACCAGCACGGGGAGGGGACGGAACCCGACGACGACGGTGACTAATTCCCTGAGGGAGTTGTGGAACTCGACGAGAGTTCGGTTCGGAGAGAAGTACACGCCCACCACGGCGATCTCTCCGAACCGAGCCGCGACGCAACCCCTGCCTCGCTGAGGCCCTTCGGGGGTTGGGGTACCGGCGGCGGCCGACGAGATGATGGTCACCGAGCCGTCCAGGTCTGACACCCAGTGTTCCCAGGGATCGGTCCTGGGACCTCTCCTGTGGAACATCGGGTACGATTGGGTGCTACGCACCGACCTCCCGAGCGGCGTCAGCATTGTTTGTTATGCTGACGACACGCTGGTGCTGGCGAATGGGAGGTCACATCAGGCGGCGGCCGACCTGATGTCGCAAGCGGTCGCGACAGTCGTTGCAAGGATCCGGCAGTTGGGACTCGAGGTGGCGCTTCACAAATCCGAGGCCATGTGTTTTTATGGCCGTCGGAACGCGCCACCTCCAGATGGGTCCCAAATAATGGCAGGAGGAGTTACCATCGGCGTCGAGTCGGCGATGAAGTACCTGGGTCTCGTCCTCGACAGCCGATGGAATTTCACGGAGCATTTTCGTCGTTTGGCTCCTAAGTTGGAACGGTCTGGGGCCGCGCTCAAGCGGCTCCTTCCCAACCTCGGGGGGCCAAACGCCTCCTGCCGGAGGTTGTACATGGGGATTGTGCGATCCATGGCCCTCTACGGTGCCCCTGTGTGGGCGCCGGATTTGAAGCGGCGGCCGGCTCGTACGCTGGCCGCGTCCCAGAGGGTCATGGCTATCCGAATAATCCGCGGATATCGCACAATCTCCGGGGAGGCGGCGAACCTCCTTGCCGGATCACCGCCATGGGATCTGGAAGCGAAGGCGCTCGCGCGCGTCTACAGTTTGCGCGCAGACGCGCGTCGCCGGGGCGAGGATCCTCTGCCGCGCCAAATTAGTGCGTGGCGGAATGAGCTCCGGCGAGATCTCATGGCTGAGTGGAAGCAGCGACTGTCGCAACCGAGGGCCGGGCACGCTACTATAGCAGCGGTAAGACCCCTCTTTGAGGAGTGGCTTGAGAGACGCCACGGCGTCCTCACCTTCCGCCTGACGCAGGTGCTTACCGGGCACGGCAGCTTTGGTAGGTTCCTGTTTCGGATCCAGCGGGAGGAAACGCCCGAGTGTCGTCATTGTGAGGATCACCTGGAGGACACGGTGGAGCATACGGTGGCGGAGTGCCCTGCTTGGGCTGAGCACCGCCGTGTTCTCAGGGAAGTGATCGGCGGCAGCGACCTCTCGCGCCCGGCCTTAATCGAGGCCATGGTGCAGCGTGAGAGGAACTGGGAAGCTATCTCCTCCTTCTGCGAAGCAGTAATGCTCGCAAAGGAGGAGGCGGAGCGCGTGAGGGAACTATCCTCCTCGCGCCCCAGCCGCCGCAGAAGGCGACATTCCGGACGTCGGGGATCGAGGGATGATCTCCGGCCACCGTAAGCGCGGGTCTGCGGACGGCGAGTAAGGGTAGCTCGCCGCCCGACCAGAACTGGACCCGAGCGTACGGCGCGTAGCGTTCCGCGCGCGCCTCAAAGAGCCAATAGACCACCACAGTCGGGGCCCTAAAGGGCTGATGTTTAGCCGGGGCTGCGGGGTAAGCGCAATGAGGCACCGCGACCTCGGCCCAGAGCAGGAGAAGGAACGGGGGGGTTTTTAGTCAGTAAGAGTCTGACACTCTCTCTCGCCTTACCCTGGGCGGGAGAAGTCATTGGATGATTTTCCCCTGACAAAAAAAAAAAAAAAAAAAAAAAAAAAAAAAAAGTGGCATTAATTTTGCCTTTGGTATCAACTTCATTTCATTGTGTACAATAAATCATAAATAAATAAATTATTAAGTATTCGTTAAGTTGTTAAATAATGAAAAAAACAACAGGTAGGTAATACGTTTTGGTAGTTTGTGTGGATTTTTTTTAAATTAAAAGAATAGGGAATTTTAGAAGTTCGCAATCAAATGTATCTCCCTGTTACAAGATACACTTTCAGGATATGTCATACCTTCTCAGTTTCATGTTCACCTGGGTGTTAAATTTAAAAAAAAACCATGCCCTACATTATTGATTTTCTCCTGTGTTATGGGTATAATTTCACATACACATATAAAATAGATTTATGGAGGCTCTCATATATAAAGCCAGATTTTGGAACGGAAAACTTTCGTCCAGGATTCTTACTTTCAAGTGGCTGGTTTTTATTTTTTGTACAATTTATAGGGTTTTAAAGCCGAAATGAAAAAAATAAATATTTTTTATAATTTATCATAATTCTCATTTCACACAAGTTTCATACAAAAATATAAATAGGTAGGTTGTAGGTCAAACATTCAAATAACAATCACTCATTCAGAAATGCTCAGTAATGATGGTAGCCATGGACGGGGGCGGGGGCGGGGTGTACGGCAGGGGCGGAGTTGTGTACGACAGCGTTGAAACTGAAACAATAAGGTTCATTTTAGTTTAGCGAAATAACAAAAATATCATACTTTTATTAAGTAATTTTGTCTATAACTTTGCAACTTACCCGTGGTGGTCGTCAGCGGTGTACTCGACCTTGCGGACGGAGCCGTCAGGCTGCACCAGGGAGTAGTATCCGTGCACGGCATCACCGTCGCGGCTCTCGTGCTGGGACTTGTGGTCACCGGTGTGGGGGTCAGCCACGGAGTAAGCGTAGTCGTATTTGGGGTGAGCCTGATTGATGAAAATAATATTAATATTACATTTTTAAACCAACATATCTTTTAAATGGATTTTCAACTGGAAATGATTCAAGACGTACGTAAGTGTCGTGGCCGTCGTAGTGGGCTACGGGGGCAGAGTAGTGGGCTACGGGGGCGGCAGCGTAGTGAGCTACGACGGGAGCTGCGTAGTGCGCTACGGGAGCAGCTGCGTAGTGCAGAGGAGCGGCATGAGCCTCGTCGTGACGGACGATGCTCTGAGAAGACACAGCGTGGCCATGTCCCAAAAGACCTGCGTTGGCAGCAGCCAAGAGGGCGCCGAAAGCTACGATCTAAAAATAATTTCACATATTAATAAACCCTTTCTTTTTATAGTAAAAATGTTAAAAAAATTTGAAATTAACACTAAAATATTTTTAATAAACCATTCTATAATACTTTCGCCTTAGATTTTTTTATCTGACCAATTTCAAAATTAAATGTATAAACTCACTTTGCTGAACATTTTTGGTGTTTAGATTGTAAGAATCAAATGTTGATTAATGTCAATGGTCCTGCTGTATGGTTTTATAGAACGCGGCCGGCGCGTGCGCGAGCGCGGTGGGGCGGAGAAATGCGCGCGCACCTTGACTGTGTAACTTTGACATGTACCAAGGTCGCAGTTCCTGCTTTACATTTGTAATATCTACGCTTTGAAATCTGTCCGGATCTACATCAATTAACACGTAGGCGTCTATTGTTAATTATACATAAATATGTTGTGGGGATTGTGAACTATTTACAATATCTTAATCGTGAATTATCGATCATTGTGATGTGATTTACTGATTCGCATTCCGGATAAGCGATCTTGTGGGCTTAAACGTGTCCGAGTCGAAATATTCTTAGGATACGACTCAGTTTATTGATAAAACTAGGATTAAAAGATGATTTGTTACTTAGCAAATCATATAATGACGATTTTTACTTAAAATTTATTTATTTATTCTTTAAATGTAATTTCATTTCTTTATGCTAAACATATTTATACATTACTCATGGTGATTTTGTTTTAAGTCGAAAATAAAACATGTATTGACTTAATTACAAGCGCATGTAATATACATTCCAATTGCTGAAAATCTTTCTTAATTATAACACTCAGTTTGTCTGTCGACAATAGTTGGTAATCTGTTTGTTATATCTAATACATAAATTATATTAAACTGCGTAACTAGATCGCTTTTTGCAATTCCAGTTTGGCATGTAGTCATGATTCTAGATTTTGAAATCGGCTTATACAGCTGTGGGATTGAATATAGGTTATATAAATATCTCTTAGCTAATTATAATATAAGCTATGTATCTGAAACGAGAAAATGGATTGGGTATCTTACTACTTTATTAATTTTCTGATAAAAGTGCTTAATTAATGTTGTTCAAAATACTTGTGCTACAATTTGTATAGTTTGTATAGTAATTTTTTCACCTATTAACTTTGCATACTGAGGGATGATTTTATAGCATTATTTCAGTATATTTAAAGACTCACCAAATATAACAAAGTATAAACTTTGTTATATTTGGTGAGTCTTTCATAAGATTTAAAGACATAAAAACTACAAGCAGAGCTTTGTTACAAATATTTCACTGAAAATTAAGACATAAGTGTTTTTAGTTCTTAATTTAAATTTATCTAAAATCTAAATTGATCATAAAACGTAATCCAATAATAGACAACAGTACAACAGTTAACAAGATAACAAAGTATGTCGTAATTAATTTATTGTTCTAGAGCTTTGTAGGCATTTCCCGGTCAGCTGGTGGTTAAGCTAGTTTGCAAAACTGGCTTGTGCTGACGTCACAGACTATTAACATATGTATGTACGAGCATGTGACGCTATTTACGTCACACATCCACATAAGTAGAGCAGGGGGCGTTTAGAACTGGTAACATATGTAGGTATAAGCAAGTGTGGTGACATAGAAATATTTATGTACTACGAGCGTTTGCCATACTTAACTCACGTCAGGGCATAAACTTATACTATACGTGAGTCACGTATAGTATAAGTTTATGCCCTTCTTTGAACTTATTTCCAAGTATTTGTATGCAATTCAAATAATACGTTTGAGTAAATCGTAAAGCGGTAAAATAAGGAAGAAATGTATATGTTTAGACATTATATATATTAAAAACTATGCTCCTGTTTAGCCGTTTACAAACATACAAATTCACAAAGACATTACACCCAGCTCCGAAACAACAATTTGTGTATCATACACAGAATAAGTCCATGTGACCCCCTCACACGTTGTACAGAGGTAGCTGTCAAGCCACCAAGCCGACTTTTGCATTTACGAGTATCCCATTACTTAATATTAATACTATTAATAAAAAAAAGTCTTATTTATCACACGAGTATGTATTGATAACATAAATAAAATTTGACTTAATTAAGTGAGTTATTTTACAGCGCCCGAGCAGGGTGATTTCCTTTCATTAATGGATTTACTACCGACTATTATAAAATGTGAGGCTGCAATGATTAGCGAATCAGTAATTCTATTTCTACCTGACCTAATTTTAATGCTGAACCGGAGTTCTAGTACGCAGCCTTCATACCAGGAAATTCCGTGTATAGCCAAGAGATTAAACCACTCAACTTGCAATAAATCTCGTGTAGATTACAAACGTAAGTATTATTATCAGCTACCGAAACTAAATAGGTACCTACCATACGAGGAAATTATGCTTAATGTGGTTTTGCAAAGTCATATCCTCCAAGATAGGTACGCTTTGTCATAAATACACAGTTATTAATACTGTTTTCGTTTGAGTGCTAGAAGTGAGGAGTGTGTAAATTAATGAGGAGTTGATTAATTTTATTTGATGCTAAAACATCGATGTTAGTCGGAGTATTTTTTGATTACAGCCATTTTAATATTAGCGGTAATGGTATTGATGATGCTATTCAACTTTCAGATGAATAAAGTGGTAGATAAATAATTTAAATTACGTTACATATTCTTTATTTGAAATTTCAAAAACAATTCAAAAATTAATGTAATTTTCTATGGTAAGTATATTCTAATTCAATTTACGTTTTGCATTGGGGAAACACCTGTCTAGATTAATCTAGCTAATTACTTCCTTCTCGGGGTTAGTATGACCAGCTTATCTCTGTTCCAGCTGAATCAACAGGTAAATGGATAATATTGGCTATTATACCAATCAAGGCCAAACAATATGAAAGTTACCATTACAAAATTTGAATAGGTAATTAATATTTTAACAAATATACTATGTTTGTAGTAAAGTGTTTATGTTTAAATGTGTATTTTTTTATAATTTATGTGTATGAAAATATATCAGTAGATTCAAGCTTAAGGGAAGACTATTATTAAAACATTTCCTTGAATCAAGCAATTAAATATATTACAAGAGAATCACCCTATTCTCAAACATTCGAAACATCGAATTCGAATTCAAATCGATATAAATTTGACATAATTCCAATATCAAATTCCCTTCGTCATACTTTATGTCAGCTACTATCAGACACGTCATAGATTGACGTCTGCAAAGATCGTGATCACGAAAGGAAAATATAGTACTATGGTATCTGTTACAAATTACAATAGCCATATCAACATAAACATTCATACTCGTTGGAACAAAAAAAAAAACGTGCTACTTAAACAATAGCATTCCTTAACCAATTTCATAACATTTTATTGACCAAATTGTTCCAACCGCGGTCTTGACTATGACATAAGTAATTTGATGGATTGGCCATGTGATCACGGCCCACGATTAAGATAATCGCGATTTTTTTAATGTGGGTCAGGTTTAATAGAAAGGCTTTATTTACATCGGCATAAAGATTGAGATAACTAAAGATATTGTGAGTCGAGTTACACTTCTGATAAAATTAGTTTTTTGTTGAAAACAATTTTTTGTACAGTATGAGATAATAATGTAGCACCAGTCTAGAAGTAAAATTAGAATTATCAAAATATAAAACAAACGACATTAATAAGTTGTCAATAAAAAAATCCATAGAATAAGCTCTTACTTTTGTAAATTTACAATAATATCGAAAGACGTACTGAAGTAATCTAAATCTACATTAATGAATAAGATATTGATCTTGAATACAGAGAGAAGATTTCAAAGCAATGAGTGTGAACTATTTGATTACCATTGTGACCTAAAATAGAATTCACAGAACTTAATGAACATTTAACTTATAAAGTTTATTAGTACAGTTATAGATTATTAAATTAATAATATCTATTTAAATCAATTTCATTATAGATAATTATGTTCTCAAAATTATTACGATATCATGGAATTTAATAGACATCACACGCTCAAAGCGTTAAAAGTTCCGCGAATAAGAACATTGTAATGCCGTTCGTGTATTAAATGTTTTAAATGTGTTCCATTGATCGTGAGCTTTGGTCAACTACGGGCACGTTTTTCGTTAAAATATTTCACTTATTATACTTAAGATACAATAATTAATATTTAGAATTAAATTCAATATAATGTTATTATTTCGTGATTCGGGGCGTGGTGGCAGTGCACGAGGTTATGTATTGTGTTCGACCATGCCACGAAGGGATAGATTTGTAGTACGTATCAATCGCTTACATTTTCACAGCAAAAAAATAGGCGAGTAATTACGTATTACGCCGCGCCTACTCCTACTAGTTTAAAAAAATAGAAGTTTCTCACACGGTTTCCGAAAGGCCGATCAATGTTAAAATAAATTTAATCTCTTGTCAAGTGATCTGATTGGTTGACTGAATTATCAACAAAAAATCAGATGATTTGACAAGAGATTTGACACCTAGTTAGTTGATTTTAACCGGGCATAAATGTTTCTTAAAATTTATAAAAGAACATTATACAGGTTACTGCATTGTCGAATAAAAGCTGAGCTGTAATAGTTCAAATTGATTAGGTAGGTACAAACGTATATAATTAGACTATGAACATTTCTATAAAAAAAGAGTTGTGGTCGATTAGAACTGTCATTACAAACTATTACAAGGCTATTGGACATATTTAATAATAAGTATTTGCTAACAAAAGCAATCGGATGATAATTATAGATCAATATTAAATGTTGACTTAAAAGGTTCGACAAGATACCGATCTGTTGGCTAATAGGACATTTACCTATGTATTTTGTTACTCTATAATTATACTCTTTACGGACATATTACTATGTAATGTGACTATTGAATTTCTGTTGCTTACACATAATAATGTTTGTTCGATTGAAAGAAATGGATACGCTTTTTTAAATACGGTAAATACTTTTTTAAAAATAGCAATTAGTTTGAAAACTATCATGAAGTTGTAGTATGTAAGTTGCAGATTTTTGTTGTAATGTAAATGAGATTCCGAAATACTGCTCATTCAGGATATAATTAAAAAAATATATAATAAAGCTTTTGCGTGGCTAACAAAGTATTTATTTTATTAATTTTATTTATCCATTTATTTCTTATTTATTTATTTATTTATTTATTGTTTTAGAAGAAACTATTTTGTCATCAAGGTTAATATCATCTTTATGGATTTTCGCTTTGACACTACCTAAAAACCATGGGACAAGTGTTTATTTACTGTCACAGCACATTAGCAACACACAAGTCAGTTTATATTACACACAATTATGAAATCTTGTAGCTCTTCATCAATCTTGGTCCTATCTCGTAATAATTAGACAACTAACAAGGCTGAGGAAATATAACGAATGTCATTAAATTACATTGCATTTGAATTGCTCTGTCAGAAGCCTCCCTTTATGGAAATGTGATAAAAGTTTAGATAAGCGGCATAAAATGTAGCAGTAAACGAGGTGTTTATGCAATGTAGTGTAAACGAAATAGATGATTTGTCATTTCTTTAAATTACACATTTGTTGATTCTGTTTTTAGTATTTAGTGCCAGGTATTAATGCATTATAGGTAACCTCTTAGTTTATCTGAAAAATGTAGTCTCTACTATCGTAAGTACAGAGCATTCAATATAGAATTGACGTGTGCTCAATATTTTGGTCGATCTGGATATCGTTGGACAGTACAGACTAAGAAATAACGAATAATGTAGGTAGTTTATTAAATTAAACAACTTTTTAAGTTCTTGCAAATTGTATTTAAAGTAGCATAATAACCATGTTCATAACAATTAATAAAAAATGATGAGATTAGATATAACCAAATCGATTAGTATCGACTAGACAATGTACATTTTTATTTTAAATCTAACAAGGTCTTTTCAGTACTATGTAAGTTAATGGAGACGGGTATCCGTCACGCAAGGCGCTTGGACCTGCATTATTTCTCTTCATTACTGATTCAATACAACGGATTATGTCACTGTACGGCGCTAATGGGTCAGGTTGTGATAAATCGTGAGCTTCCTTATGTTTGTCGTCTCCATACAATTGTTCTTTGGTCACCTCGACAGACAACTCTTTAGATTCTTTCACATGTTTGTTAACTGGGTGAATTGCTTTTTTTGGTGGTTGTTTCTTTAATTTCTCTTTTAATTCTTCTTTGGATTCTTTTGATTCGGATGTTTCCCCTGATTCTTCGATTTCATCGAATTCCTTTAGTTTAACAAGAAGAATCTCTTTCGCATTCTCATTAGATTCCTCACTGGAATTTTCCTCTGAAGTGGCTTTAATTGGGTGTTGAATATGTTCGTGTTTCTTATCAGCTGACTCTTCTTCAGATTCTTTTATATCATGCGTTGGTTCTTTTGGAAGTTCGCTTTCAGCAGACTCTTCGGATTTACTATGGTTATGTTCACTTGGATCAAGATTTTTAGCAGCAGGCTCATTTTGTGCATTCAATTGTACCAAAGACTCGTGTTTGATTTCAGGGCAAGGTGGAGCAGATTCTTTTTTTTCAACTGTATTTTTTCTTTCAGCGACGGCAGGCAAGAAATTTTTAACAACGGCATTAAACCTGTGAGCCAAAAAATATGCTTTAATAAATTCATGAACATCATTTCAACCTCATAGTTTATATACAACTAACCAAAATAATGAAGATATTTTACCCAGAAATGTCGTCAGCTTGGTACTGTACTTCCCGAACGTATCCATCTGGTTGAATGAACGAATATTCTCCACGTACTACGGAGCCATCGCTTAGTTCTCGTTGAGCTTTATGGTCTCCCGTGTTGTCATCATAAACAACGTAGCCATATTCATAACCTGCAGCTTCCTGTAGCCAAATGTAAAAATATTGTAGTATTGCATAACTATTGGTAACATATAATTGGCTTTGCATCATACATACCTCTTTTGTTGGTGCAACAACAACTGGGACACTTGGTGCTGGTGCACCGTAAGTCAATATGTTTGGTTGTGGATTTACTGAACCCACTGTAGCAACTGTTTGGGCTGGATAAACACAGGGCGTTCCGCACGGCACATATCCCGGTATAGAAGGCAGTGTATTGATTTGAGATAGTCTAGGACTTGGTAAAGACGCGTGTGGTGTTCCGTATTGGTAAAATCCTCTCGGGACTAAATCACTCTGTACATAGACGTTAGAATAAGATGCACCATTGACGTGGTATATAAAGTTAACACTTAATAAGACTAACAAAAACATCTGAAAATGGAAAATAAAATAATTAGTTAATAGCATTGCTAGAGAATTATAAAAAATAAATACGAACGGAACAACACTTACTTTGACAATCATCTTTCCTGGTGATCGGTGGAAGACAACTGATATTTTTTGAAAATGTGGCACCGTTTATAAGAGATTCTTTGTTGTCCCAAAATATTCAGTTCGGTAATACCGAAACAAACCATCAATGTCGTAGACTAGATGAATAGGACTTAACAATTAATATGTTAATGAAGATTTTACGCAGACTCTAACATTTTTCACAAGTATTCAGGACACGTGGGTGTACAAAAAGATTATAATCCGGCATGACAATAGTCTTTGTTGCTTACTGTCCAGCCAGTGCGTAACTTACGCAATGTTACGGGGAACTGTTTGCTATTTCTTCACTCCGTGAACACAAAGTCGCTTCCAGCTGATGGATTATTCGGAATAGGAAATGTTTGACTTATTTATGATACGCTTTGTTCTAGTAGACAACCTTTGGATTAACATGAATACAAAAGTACTGTTACTTATTCGTAATATTGCCCTGAAACCAGTTCATGGTCAGTGTAGTGTGTTATTTTATTTTTTTATTGTTCTAAAAAATAAGTCGTTTACTTCACCAGTTCATGCAAATTTTTTGCTTCTTGAAAAGTTTTACTAGTTTTATGACTAAATGTTAAAGTAATATTGGTAATACAAACCAAGTAAGTTAAATCATAAATCACCCACATAAAAATGAACATAGGTAAGTAATAACTATTACGTCTAGCAAAATTTTTCTGTATGCTTTTAATTTTTGTTAAATACTTTTCGCACCAAAGAAATGCAAAAAAAATGTTCGTGACGGTTAGAAGTAGGCTTGAATTAAAGATGTAAAGAGATCTAAACACCAGATATACTACTTGTCTGTAGCAAAATAAATGATAGCTAGACAACAACTTCTTGCTAAGATATTTTCGAAGATATAGTTTGTACTGCTTATTTAGCTAACTTAAACCTTTATAAGAATTTATGAATTATTTATTATATATTACTGTGAGTCATGTAATGATCCTTCTGGAAAACCCTCTTTATAGTAATCTCCGGCTTCCGCTTTTAGATACAAGTACGCTGGTCGATAATATATTTTAAAATGAGAAAAAGAATCGTAAACAACTGGATTACGTTGCCTGGTCTAAATGTTACAGAAATGTTTGAGAGCTACTCGACCGCCGCATTTATTTCGCAGGCGCTTTAAAGTAATTCGAGAAGGTAGTCTAGGTACAGCACAAAATATCTCTTTTGAGTTTAATATTGCATTGAGAGTTTTATTGCGAATATTCTTTATATCCTAAGAAAAAAATCAGTTCACCAATCTTAGTCCTATTGTCTATAATCTAATAACACTACTACTATTTAAGTATTCAACACCCTAAAATATTCAGCACTAGGAAATGTGAATATCATTTAATGAGATTGCTTTTGATATACTCGGTCACAAGCAACAAAGATAATAACATAAAATAGAGGTTTCTACTTTTATCTCTGGGGAAATACAGTGTACAGCGTACAGTGTACAGTGTGTAGCATTTTTAATTGAAAATAGTGACTGGTCATATTATAAACATTTGAGTATGTTGGTATATGTTATACTAGCTTTTGCCCGCAACTCCATTCGCGTGAAATAGTGACTTCTTGCAGATTTTTGGTATACAAACTATCATACGTCCTTGCTCGCGTTCCAAACTGACAGACAGATAGAGTTACTTTCGCATTTATAATATTAGTTTGGATTATAATGTGAAATATTTCTCTGGTATTTCTTATATTAAATTTAGTCTTTTTGCTTGGTACTTGCTCCAGCCATTGGGACCCTCTGAAGAAAAATGTCTAAGGCAGTAAGACTGCCTGTGTACCCTTTGTACATATGGTTTCAAATATATGAATAAATAAATAATGTAGTTTTTGTTTTAAGTTTTGTTTACTTTTCGGTAATAAAGGAATTAGATGTCCATTACTGCACTGATTTTCATAACAAACTCTCCCTCTTTGAAAGTTGTTATAAAAATGTGCCAAAAAGAAGCCCCGCTTCGGAAATAATTAGCTTTTTTGAGGGAAGAATTATCTCTAATGCATTCACCTGCCTTGGATGGGTCGAGAGGAAGTGTCAGAGTCGTACTTACTCAAAACAGCCTCGTTCCTTCACCTGCACTGGGTCGGGTGCGTGGTAAACTATTGTGCTTGTAACCGCAACCCCAGAGTATCTAATTGCCAAAACTTTGATTTTCTTTAACTTTTGTTTCTCTAGTACATCGTAGTGCTATTTTAAATACTAGAGGCGCCCCAGCTTAATTCGCGTGTCTCCGGTGTCGAGGTAAGTGTGTAAGTGTGTAAATTGTTCATTTTACAAACCCTGTCCCATCGGTATCTAATTTTATTTGGTCAAGCGGTTGGGCAATTACATTCATTCATCTTATACAATTTTATAGTATTATATAAGGTTGAGTTTTATGAATACATGTATTTAAAAAATGTCGCCTAGAGAATCTGAAAATATTGCAATTACGGCATCATAATAATTATCAGTTCTTTTTTGTCCAGTTACGTACTACTGGGCTTGATCTTTAGTCAATTATAATTATAAAGAAAATTCAAACAAAAAACTTTTTGTGGTAGATTGACGGTTGACCCATAATATTGTTACAAAGTGTATTATAGTTTTTCCAGTTGATGTCAGTCAAAGGTAACGGTATAATTTTTGCATAGGTGTCATTCAGGTTAATCACTAATAAGGAAAAAAATTGTCAATGTTTAGCAACCAACCGCGAATGGGTAAAATGGGGTCTCAGGTTGATTTCCGAACTGGTCGTTCAAATAACAATTTGGTGACTTTCGGTTATCTATATTTATACTTATAATAAATCTGTACAGAGGTCAATTCAGATTTGAAAAATAACTATCAGGGGGCGATCAGAGATACAAAAATGTATATTCAAAAATTTTTGTCTGTCTGTCTGTCCGTATGTTTCTTATAGAAACAAAAATTACTCGACAGATTTTAACGAAAGTTGGTACAATTATTCTTTATATTTATTATCAGGAGCAGAGCAGTGAAAATGAAAAATTGAAATGTTGAGAAAACAGGAGAAGTTAATCCATTTTTTTAGCTTCCGTCGCGTGTACAGCCTTAATGGTTAAAGTTACATAGAAATAATGTATCACGGGAATATTCAATATAAAATTATCTACAATATATTCTACAACAGTATATGTCTCTCTTTTATGGTTGACTCACAATAACACATTTGCTCCTGATAGATCAGTAGTTCGGAGCATTCTGACTATATTTAGTTACTCTTACGTTTATAACACCCTCACAAATCCTTAATTAAAAAAAAGTTTACATTATTATCTGTTCAATAAATAAAAGAATGCTAGAAATTGGTATACATGCGTAGACCTTTTTGACGCCATGTTTCAAGATAATGAATCAATATTAATACACATAATAAAAAGTAAAAGGTCGGAGTCTGTACATGGAAGATAAATAATAATAACATTCTAGAGGAAGTTTATATAGGCAAGAGAAGTCAAAACAGTATGTGGTAATTTTTATCCTTATTAATATCCACTTCCATACCCACAACCAAGCGGACATAGTCGTAGGTAATGTTAATTTTATATTTCATGTACAGATTTGACCTGTCTACAGATTTATAATAAGTAATAGAATAAGATTGCCAGAAACTTATAGTATGTTTTGTGGCGCGCTAAAAATCAATAATTAATCGGTTTTTCAGTTGTTTCAATGTGTTGCTGTAAGTTTTCCGAAAAATTCTGTGTTTACTTTATTTTAATCCAATGCAATCAATGCGTAAGTAACTCTGTCTATCTGTCTGTCCCTCCTTCACACTTAAACTACTGAACTGATTTGGAAAAAAAATTGCATAGACGTAGTTTGAAACTGGAGAATGGATATAGGATAGTGTTTATCCCGGGTATTCAAAAGGAGAAGTTCAAGAAAATTCTATGAGATCGGGAACTATGTGGGTAAAACCAAAAGTGTGCTAGAACTCACTATTCCACGCGGACGAAGTCGCTGGCAGAAGCTAGTTTGGAATAAAATCTCAGTAGTAGAACGGTGTCTTAAGTTGTGTCCAGTATACAGCAATAGGTTTACTATCCACCAACAACTTACAAGGGCGAAATTATAGAACACCGTATTTTTTGGTACACATAACTTAATTAAAACTGGGTGTACATTGTGTATATGACCCTTTGCCCGCCCCTTCGTGGATAAAGGACATATAATATAAACTGCTATTTGTTGATCAGTAATAAGATGACAACATTTCGCGAATTATGTTAAGTCTGTTACTGGTCTGGGGCCTGAAACAATTTTAACAAAATAATTTTGAAATATTAGGAAGATCATAATTACTACTACTTGTACTTACTTAATAATATCATATTTCATAATTTTGTATGAAATTTTTTTTCAAAATCATGTCTAACCGCGAAGTACAAAAGGACAAAAAGTACAAACGACAAAAAGGATAAAAAAAATATTATTACTTTAATTTAATAAACCGAACAGCAACAATTGCCTTGAAGTACAATAAATTTGAAGGCATTTTAAGTTTACTGTACTTTGTTGGTTCTGCTAAATAAAAGCTTCAACAAACTCTCACGATTTTTCGATCATACAATTCGATCATAACAATCGAAAGTAGAATCATGCTTAAAGCATAATCACAAAAAATATAAACACATAATTATTTAGAGTACAATTACATTTTCATAATATGATAATGAGTAAAGAATCAAAAAACCACATTATATTTTTGATTGGATCTTCTTTTTTCTTTAAAGTATGTCTGTGAACAAAGTCGGGCTTAAATAAAATAAAAAGTGACTTTGACTGACTAATCTCATTAGTATAATTCTCTATAATGTTCCACAATGTTTTATTGTAATAAGACATCGTAAGACTGGTTCAAGATAGGTAAGCAGGAAGGTAGGTAACACAAGAATAAATACAAACAAAAGAATAGATTTTTCGAAAAGTTTAATTTTCGCCGCAGTCTTATAAAATAAGGAGTCGTGTCGACTAAAGACTATCT